GCTATATCTTAACTTAACCCACATCATGACAGACGGCTCCCTAACCCTAAGCTCAATGGGGAACTAAATAGCTTTTTTGGTGGTGAAGGGAAGATGACGATGAAGGAGTGGCTTGTCACTTTAAAGAACTGGGGCCACAACCACCAGACTGCCCTCCAGAAAACCTCTCAACCCGAAGGGAAAGGAAATCCGAAGGGGGTGACCATGTCGCATGTGGGGTTCGAACCCTCGACCTTCCGATTAAGATAAAAGACACTTAACCAGTCAGCCACACGTGCTAATTGAATTCAAATTGAATTTCAAATCAAAAATCTCTATTTATTCAGATGAAATGTCAAATTTTTGTTGATTTTGTTTACTTTTTAAAAAAGAAAATCAGCGTAAAGGAAATTAGGGAAATTTAGTTTTAATTTCAAAATTTCAAATTGTCTCGTTGATCATTTACGATGAACTACATGCGCCAGTTCCTCTTCGTCTCTGGGAATTGCATAGAAAAGACTTTATGGAAGACTTTGTACATCGAGGCTTACCTCGATACGGAAATTCGGGAAAATTTTTTCAAATTCAATTTCAAAATTTCAAGTTTCAACTTTCCACGAATTAAACAAGATTTCAAAAATCAGTTTTTTAAAAATTTTTAATAAAGTAGAGTAGATTTCAATTAAAGTAGATTATTTAATTATTTAACATTTCAATTATTTAAAGTAGATTTCTTTATGAATTTATTTAGAAATCTATGCCCAGACAAGTTTTGATTTCTTTTTGTATTCTACAGGATGACCAAGAATTACCGCAACACACAAAAGGCCTGGCTTTTAACCAAATATGCAACCCATCTCGAAAAGTTAACTTAAATATCTTTATTCAACATATAACAGTAACAAATTAACAATTAAATTCATGTAACAATTCAAATTTGCCTCCATCGGCATTCAGATAGGCCTGCAAACGTTTGGGAAACGCGTTGACCGTGGCGAGCAAATAGGCATCATCGAGGGTATCCCATGCTTTGATCAGCGCCTTCTTCAAACTTTCGATATTTTTATGTGGTTTTGCAAATGCCCTGGCTTCAAGAACACTCCAGATTGAGTAATCTAATGGGTTAAGATCGGGTGAGCTGGGTGGCCACTCAGAAAACGAGATCAAGTCCGGGAAGGTCTTTGAACAAAACTCTTGCACTTTCTTTGCCTTGTGAGCCGGCGCACCATCTTGTTGGTAAGTCCAATTTCGATTTTTGAAGTGGCGTTGAGCCCACGGAACAACCTCCTTCTTTATAATTGACCGCATTTACTTTCACACCTTGAAGAATAAAGATCAACGGGGTCTTTCCATTGGCGGTTATCCCGGCAAAAACCATCACCGATACCACCATCACCATCACCACAGGATGTTGTGGTGATCGATTCCGTTGAACCGTTGCAAAAGGTTGGGCACATCGGTCTTTTCGCTTGCCCTTCGCAGCAGCTGATAGTAATTGAGATTTGTTCTTCTTGTACGACTTCATTTTCTTGATGATTGTGTTGACGGAGCTTCTCTTCAGACCCATTTTCTGTGGCATTCCTCAAGCCGATTGGTTAGGGTTTAATCTTAGACGATCGCGCACTTTCTTGACATTAGCCGGAGTAACCGCTGTTTGTTTTGCACCTCTTCCAGGGCGATCCCTGGATCGATCAGAAACTGTGCCCAGAGTTTCATAACGTTGAATGGTTCGAGAAAGGAGGCTTCTAGGGACATTCAGGCGCTTTGAGATCTCGCTCGCCTGAACACGTGCCGCTTGAGGTCAAGGATCGATTATCGATGTGGAGACGCTTTCATCATTCTTGAAAACAAGCATACTAATGTATTGAAAGTTGGTAATCATACCATAAAATAAGAAAAATACACAAAAACCATAAAAACAGGTAAGCAAAAAGTGAAATGGGGCTCATAACATAACACGACGTTGTTGCGGTAATTCTTGGTCACCCTGTATTGGTTAAATGAATCAAATTGCGTTGCCTCTCGGTTCAGAGAAGAATTTGAGTAATGTCGTTCCATTTCTGTTCGATTTACCCAAAAGAACAGAACAAATGGCACTTGTTTGATTTTAAAACGCTATATTGTGCGTCTGCTATATTGTCTACTGTGCGTTTTGAATCAAGTAAAGTTTGGGTTGGTAAAACTCTACTATTAGGCTTTTCAGAAGGTTTTTTTCGTTTCTTTTCGTATTTTCATTGATATTGATAACAAATCCACCAATTATCTATCGAAAAAATTGCTTATTACTCAATTTTCCATCTTTTGAAGTCAACTTGAGCTCACTTTCAAGCAAATTCGAGAGCAAATCCACACATAAAACATTTTAAACTACTTTTTAATGTTGTTTTTTTTGTCCTGGCCTTTCTAAAATTGGCCTTTCTAATAAAATAAACCACAATTGAATTGATGAATTTGGTTGAAATGTTTACATCGATTAAAGTATTGAGAACTAGAAAAATAGGTGATCATTTTGAAACCGAACTTTTTAAAATGTCAACTTGTTCAAGAATTTCACTGACTAAGCTATTAAAGCGTTTTTTTCCCAATTTCGATCGCTTTCAAAGTCTTCTAATCAAATACATTTCCTTTTCAGATGTTCTCTTCAACGCCAATGATGAACACATGGGTAAGATTTCTAAATTTAAAGTAACGACTATTGGAAATTTCAAATTCAAATTTCCATAAATTTCTATTCATTACTTACACTATTGTTCAATAGATTGATCTTAATCAAGAGCTAAGACAAATTTGGATTCAAACCTCAAATTGATTGCGACAAGCTCGAATGAAAACCCCAAAAATTGAAACACTCATTTTTATGTTATGCTTTATTTGTTTAGTCATACGACTCATTAACTTTTTAATCAGCTTTAATTACCCAACTCCATATCTAGAGCCGTCTGCCAGAAGGTGTGATGACAAAAGCGTGAAAATTTTCATGTTTACATAATCGCGTGACTTCTGGCAAACGGCCTCTAAGAATATAAAGCTTGTTGCGCTTTTTTTTCTCCAATTTGGTTTATTAGGCAAGTTTTAGAGAGTTTTGTTCTGACCGTATTAGCTCGAAGATTAAAGTTGCTTAAAAAATGATAACGGATTCAAATTCTCTATCCCAAAATGCCTCTAGCTACAAAGTTTCGGATCTACAGCTAACATAGATTGTTCGAAACGGCAGCCAAGACAAAATGGCTTTGTTGTGAATGTGTTAAAGTTTTAGGAATCAATTCCGTTTAAAAAAGTTACACTAGGAATTTCTGCCAATTGCAATCTCATGCAATTCGTTACCCACGAATTGCATGAGATAAGCTTGAGTGCCTTTTCAGATGCTCTCTTCAACGCCAATGATGAACACATGGGTAAGATTTCTAAATTCAAAGTAACGACTATTGGAAATTTCAAATTCAAATTTCTATAAATTTCTATTCATTACTCTCACTATTGTTCAATAGATTGATCTTAATCAAGAGCTAAGACAAATTCGAATTCGAACCTCAAATTGATTGCGACAAGCTCGAATGAAAACCCCAAAAATTGAAACACTCATTTTTATGTTATGCTTTATTTGTTTAGTCATACGATTCATCAACTTTTCCTTCAAAAACCGATTCGTCGAGTGTCGAAAATTAAAAGAAACCCATCTTGAAATAAATACATCATTTGTAAAGATTTTTTGCTTGTTTTTAGCAACTCTAGTATAAAATGCACTGTGTTGACTCACAAAATCATCAAATTTGCGTTGAAGGCTCAGCGAAAAAGCCTCTGTTTCAACTTGACAGGTTATGGTGGAAGAATTTCAACGGTAATCGGTCGTTCCCAACAACTCTATAAATCCGAAGGCGTCATAGAAACTACTATAGTCATTCGATAGCCCTGAATCTCCTCTTGGTAATGGACAGTTTCTCTATCAATCTCTATCTTTAAATCACTAAATTCATTAAAACCTCAAGCCAGGAACTCTATAAATCATGATGTCATCTAAAGGATCAATTCCTCAATGATCTTCGATATTTGCGTGTATTAATTATTAGTATTTAAATTAAATTGAAATTGCTCATTGAATTTCGTTGTTGAGACAATGATTGAATATTTTGAAACATCAAGTTTATATATTGTCGATTGTATCAATTGACTAGTGAGATTTGTCTATTCTAGCCAGTTACCGTATTTTCCCTAATGGTAGTGCACCCTGAGTGTCGCCTAAATTGCTCGAAATCTCGAAAAGCACTTATCAGAACCTATCGATGTGGGGTCGGAAAATGTAGCTGACGATGAGATCTAGTGGGGGATTTGAGTGTTGAGCTTCTGTGGAAACTCTGAAAACCGTAAAATAGTCACCAACTCGGCTCGCTGGGGTACACTACTATTAGAGAGAATATGGTATTTTCTAAAACTTCAAGCAAAGCAATTCAAAAGTGAAATTGCTTTTTGAAATTAACTTTTATTCAACATTTATCGAACAAAAATGGGTAAACAGTTTTGATTAAGAGATTAAGAGATATATTTTAAAGTGAATGGGAGAAATTTGTTAGAAACCGGTAAGAATCAAGCAAAAAAAGGATAAAGCACCGGGATTGAAAGAATCCAAGAATCATCAGTTTCAAGAAAGATAAAAAATTGATTGATTTACGAGATTTTTTATATAAAAACATTTGATTTAAGATCAAAATTTGTAAATTCGATTTCAGAACGAGTAAAAAAAGATGAAGTTTCAAAGTTTCACTAAGTAAATTCGATCTCTAGCATCGAATCCAGGTAAAATTTAAATTTCAACTTACCAAAACTTCAAATAAACTCACTTCTCTGCCAAAACTAGAGCTGAATCGGCTCCGAATTACAATAATAAGAGCAAAAACAGCTGTGCACTCTATTTGGCACCAATTTGAACAGATAAACAAGTCTAAACAAGGCAAAGAAGTATAAACAAGGCAAAGAAGTGTTTTCTTTTTCCAAATTCAATGCCTATTTTCCTCCAAAAGCACTTAAGCCACCCATTTATCGGTCAAAATCTGAACATAGGCCGCTTTGAGCATCGTGAACATCATGTCAACCGCATGACCCGAACGGAATTCCCTGCAAAAATCGTTTTCAATGTAAAAGAAATATTTGCAAAATAAGTATTGTATATGTTATATAAAAATTTATCGAATCAATTGTGTAAAAATGTGAAATGCTCAATGCGAAACGATGCAAATCTAGTCTTTTTAAAGGAATTTATATGTCGTAGCCGATTATGAATGAAATTTTTTGGCAAATCTTTCTAGTAGAGCAACCCTTTAATGTATGAGGACAATATTATATGATCTTGTAGCGAATTAAATTCTACGTCGATTGGTACCAAATTTGTGAGTTTAGGTTAAAAATTGCCGGCGCTACAACGTTTCATTCAAAATCGGCGGGACCCCCGTAGCCGATTATGATGAGTGGGTCTAGGAGCGTCCAACCATCAAGTATTTGGTATCATTCAACGCAGAATCATTAATAATTATGCTAAATTTTTAAAATTAGAAAGATTTGATAAAAAGAAAAAAAATTAGAGCAAAAAAACTGTTTGTTCAAGAGAAAACTTTGAGGCCCCATAATTTTTTTTTTTTATCCAATCTTTCTAATTTGAAAAATTTAACATAATTATCAATGATTCTGCGTTGAATGGTACCAAATACTTGATGGTTGGACGCTCCTAGACCCACTCATTCATAATCGGCTGAAATTCATAGTCGGCTACGACATATATATATATATGCTTTATTCAGGGAGCGAATAGAAGTGAATCAGAGAATCATAATCGCATATAAAATTTAATCAGCGCATATACCCAGATAATCATAACCAATTTGCAGGTTAAATTTAAAAATTTCAACCATCGGACGTAAAATATAAAGATTTACAGTGTTACCCAACCACAGTACACCTTATCTAGGCCAAAGAACGATTTTCTCGATAGTATTGTTGCTATTATGCTTAGAAATCTCTAAAATTACTTGTAATTAATGGGAAATTTATAGATTGCTTATTTTCTAAAGAAACAAGATTAAAAATTTGAAGTTTCAAATTTGTTAACATCTACCTTGGCTCTAAATCGCTAATAATGTTGTCGGCCCCAATAGTTCGAACTTTTAAATTAATCAGGCGTAACATTTAAAAGTTTACTGTCATTTAATTTTTTCAATTGCTACTTGAATTTTGAACTTTTTGGGCTTTATATTTACCATATTTTCTCTAATAGTAGTGCACCAAGAGCCTCGCCTAAATTGCTCGAAACCTCGAGAATCGCTTATCAGAACCAATCGATGTGGGGTCGGAAAATGTAGCTGACGATGAGATCTAGTGGGGGATTTGAGTGTTGAGCTTCTGTGGAAACTCTGGAAACCGTAAAACAGTCACCAACTCGGCTCGCTGGGGTGCACTACTATTAGATAAAATAGGTAGTTTAAATTTCTTTGAACAAGTTTTTCAAACCAAATTTTCTTTGTTTATTAGCTTTAACGAATATAAGGCGAATTTGAAAAATTTGAAACCAAAAGTTTGACTCTTTCTCAAAATTTAGATTTTAACAAAAAAGAAATGGCGTACAACTAAAAACCATTAAAAAATCCTTTTCTAAAGCGTGTCCCTCTTTCTACCGTAATATTGGCTCTTTTTATCCAATCTATCTACTTTTCTTTCATTAGTGAACTCTCGTCACCGTTTAAACGATCATTTCAACCGGCTAGCCTTTTTTCAGCTCAGCACAGCTCAGCTCAGCTTTTTCAGCTCAGCACCCACCTTGTGAAATTGTCCAACAAACGAATCTCTGAGCCTAAATGCTGAATGCCGGCTCGAACGACGATGTAGATCATCACCGGGAATTGATCGTCTCCTCCCCAAACGTGGTCACTTCCCGCATCCGCGTAGTTCAATACGCACTAAATTTTTTGTTTGATTTCTGTTTTCTTTTGATTTCTTTTGATTTCTTTTGATTTCTTTTGTTTTCTTTTTTCATTTCTATTCTTGATAAACATTTTATCAAAAGAATTTCCTCTAATAGTTTTATCTTTGTTTGACTATATTAAATGTTTGGCTATATTAAAACAAATATCTTTGATCAAAAATAAGGATAAGGAACCAAATTTAGAGGGATAAGGGACCAAATTTAGAGAGATAAGGAACCAAATTTAGAGAGATAAGGAACCAAATTTAGAGAGATAAGTAACCAAACGATTCAAACAACAGTGATTTTCATTTTTATGTGCACTTTTAGCTTTTTGGCTTCAATAAAAGCTTTAATAATAGAAAATAACAAAGCAGAAAAGCTTCAATGACAGAAAATTTTGATTTAAAAAGATATTTTCAACTTCTAACACTTGAGAATGGGATTTTCTTTAGCAATTTTTCTCCAAAACAAGCTTTGAAGCTTTTTGGGAAATGAAAAGCTTGTGCTTCAAAAAGTTTAAAGATAAATTTAGCTTAAAGATTGATTTTCGGGCTTAATATTGGCTTTCTGAGCTTTTGGCTTTCTTGCATAAATGGCTTTAAAATCAAGCACTTAGCAAGCTTACCAAAAGAAAACTTCCAAACTGAAAAGCTGAGTCTGCTTTTGTCGGCATTTAAATAGAAACCATTTAAATTGAAATCAAATCGAATTGAAATTGAAATGAAAAGCTTGAACTTGAACTAGTAAGTTTTATTTAAAAGCATTTTCTTGAAAATCACTTGAAATTTTGATTTCTTGGATAGTTTTGATTAAATATTTGACCACTATTAAATTTCAATTTAACTTTCATCAGCTCAAAGTTTGAAACCTGAGAAATTTCCTCAAAAGTGTCGACAAGAATCGCCAATTTTGTTGACGGATTCGCATCGGTGGGCAATTGTTGGAGGGCCAGAATGGCCGATTCATAGAATTTCTTCCTCGCCAAGGCTCTGATCTGAAAATTTTGAGGTTTTTGAGCAAAAATCTAATGACTTCAACTCACCAGCGGCTTTTCCAAATCGTTCACAACGGGCATCTCAATTGGCCAGAGTTCTCTGTAAGGATTTTGAAAAGTCTTAACGTAACGGACGTAATATTGAATTGAAAAGCCTTAATCGGAGAAAATCTGCGTGGAGAAAATCGGAGGCGGACTAATTCCCCCCATTAAAATTTAACTCTAATACTTTTGAAACACATACATTTAAACTCCAATTATTTATCTTTTTCTATTTTATTACTAATCATTTTGCTTTAATCATTACTAATCTCTTAAAATTCTAGAAACACTAACTTTGGCACCAAAAAGTACTCAAGCAGCTTGATATCGGTGTGTGCATTCAAATACAAAGCTTTCCTCCAGTAAATCGAATCCAGTTCGGCAATTGAAAGGCTGAAAATTTTAGTGTTTCAAAGTTTAGAGTTTAGAGTTTACATTTTACAAATTAGTTTGCTGAATCAGTCACTTGTTGCTTTCATCATCGTTATTCTCGTTTGAAATCAAAATTTTCAAATGCAGATGCTTCCTTTTAAATTTTCTTGTTTCAAATTTGATTAGATAAGTTGTCTTTAGCTAATCTAACCAATAGAATTACAAAATAAATTTTTGTTGATTCTTTTAACACATTGACGACAATGGCGTTTTTGCACAAACAATCGCATGGGACAACGTTGTTTTTTTTCGACAAAAAATGTCACCTGACATCAGGTGACAATGTCCCAGGCGAACGAATATGTGTCAGACAGCATCAGGTGACAATGTCGTCAACGTGTTAAATTAGAAAATTTTTCAGAAATCCTAAAAACTGATTCAAATTAAAATGAATTCATTTAAATTAAAAAATGTTTGTTTCAAATTTGTTAACATGAAGCCATGTTTCAAAATTTTAATCACTTCAACTTTTATTCACTTCGAATTTCAATCATTTCGATTCTTTTTGTCGATTCTGATACAGCAAAGATGCCTGACACAGCAAGATTAAAAAATGCCTGTTTCAAATTTGCTGGCATAAAGCCATGTTTCAAAATTTTAATTCCTCCGTTTTTTCCTGAGTTCGGTTTTTTTCTGTGTCAGCATGGATTAAATTTAAAAATATTTGTTTTAAATTTGTTAACATGAAGCCCATGTTTGAAAATTTTAATCTGGCTTTTGTTCACTTCGAATTTCAATCGTTTCGCTTTTTTTGTCGATTCTGATACAGCAAAGCTTAAATTAAAAAGTGTCTGTTTCAAATTTGCTGGCATAAAGCCATGTTTCAAAATTTTAATTCGTCCATTATTTCCTGAGTTCGGTTTTTTTCTGTGTCAGCATGGATTAAATCAAAAAATATTTGTTTCATTTGTTAACATGAAGCCCATGTTTGAAAATTTTAATCCGGCTTTTGTTCACTTCGAATTTCAATAGTTTCGCTTTTTTTGTCGATTCTGACACAGCAAAGATTAAATTTAAAAGTGTATGTTTCAAATTTCTTAGCATAAAGCCATGTTTCAAATTTTTAATTCCTTCATTTTTTTTAAAATCCAACCTGTAAATCGTTGAGAGAGTCGGTGAGACTTTTGGGAAGAAAAATTCGTAGAGAAATTCACAAGCTGGAGTCGGCGCCTCAATTGGCGGAAGGGGATCGGATTTACTGAAAAAAAAATTCGAATTTGAAGCTATTAGCCCGGACTTAATTAGCTCCATATCTTTAGACAAGTAGTTGAATAATTTGAAACAAAAACTTGCTTTTTTAGAGTTTCACGAAGTGAAATTATTTCTTGCTTTTCCGGCATATGATTTCAGATTCATGCTTAAGATTTTTGCTACATAAAAGCTGTAATATTAATAGATTAACGCTGTAATATAACGTTTAAAGTTATATTTAAGTGTATGTAATATTTAAGTTGAACGACTACCATGAGCTGTTTCAAAGTCTGGCTCACAAGTAGACATGGGGGTCGAGTATTCGAGTCACTATTCGAGTCACTATTCGAGTCACTATTCGAGTCACTATTCGAGTCACTATTCGAGTCACTATTCGAGTCACTATTCGAGTCACTATTCGAGTCACTATTCGAGTCACTATTCGAGTCACTATTCGAGTCACTATTCGAGTCACTATTCGAGTCACTATTCGAGTAACTATTCGAGTAACTATTCGAGTAACTATTCGACTCAGTGACTCGACTCGACAATCTTAAAAACGAAATTTCAAGCTTCAAGCTTGCAAGTAGACTCGACTCGGCTAAATTCTGGACACGAGACTCGAGTCACTCTTTCTTTAAAAAGTTCATGTCTATTCGCAAGCTTGAAGCTTGAAATTTCGTTTTCAAACATTGTTTTAATGGAAGTGCCAAGAATCAGAGCGCTTATAGCTTTTTAAGCTTCAAAATACTGTTTTTATGATAAACCCAAAACTTAATGTCGAAATGTCTTAACTTAATTTGAAGGCCAGTACCTTGTTTTAGCCGGCGACCCATCGGGACTCGATTCCGAGGAGCTGTTAGTCCCATTAGTCGAGCTTTCTCTTCTCGATAGACTCTCCGCAAAAACCTCATAGGGATTCTCGGGAAGTGATGAGAATAATAATCTGAAAGTTTTTTGGTTTGAATTAGCTTGCTTCATATTTTTTTGATTTGTTTATTTGAGTGTACACTAGATACACCAGATTATGTGGCGTTCTACAGCGCGGTGCAAAGCCATACGCCACCCTCTAAATTTCAAATTTTCTGCGGCTCCCGTGGCAGTGACAAAAAAACTGAACACATAGTTAGATTCAGGACCAACAATAACCCTTCAAATCCTAAAAAGAGAGTTGAGTTGCTTTGTTTTTGTTTCTGTTTGTTGAGGCATTGTTTTTTGAAGTTGAAGTAAGACAAAGTAAGCTCTTTAGGTGTTCTGATAAGGAATCTGAAGTGAAAGGGCGGGACTTATATTTGCCAGTGGCAGATTTAGCTTTTAAACTAGAAAAAAAGATATGAAGTCTGAAATGACACCAAAATTTGGGGGTATGGTTTTGCACCGGGTGAATTTTCGTTTTTTGGCTTTTACATTTTCCCTATTCATGCTATGTCGATGATTTTTGGAGTTTAAAAGTTATTCTTGGTCCTGAATCTAACTACGTTTTCAGTTTTTTTGTCACTAGCACGAGAGCCGCAGAAAATTGAAATTTAGGGGGTGGCGTCTTAGGTTATTCAGAAACCGCGCTGTATTAGGCTATCCAGAAAGTCTTTTCGTCATTTTCAGTCATTTTAAACCCATCTTAATGTTCTTTTGCAGAAAAATGCAATAGTTGATTGATGCATTTGTTGGTTTTAAACGAAAGTATGAAAAGAAACGAAAAGCCTTTCTGGGCGGCCTAATATTACAGTATTTGCGGGATTTTTGAATTTTAGTCCACCCGAAATCTTGAGAGCTGGCTTGGCGTTTGCAAGTTGGCTTGAAACTTGAAACAGAAACTTGAAAATCAAAATGAAATCCATCTATTATTGCTCTTGGCTTTAATGCTCAAGTGTTAATTTATTTAAAACTTAAAAGAAAACATTGTTTAAGCTTTGAATTTCCAAAATTCTTCCATTAACCTGATCACTTTGTAATTCTCCTCGATGAGACTTCTCAATTCCAGCGTCGATTGGGAGTACATTGCTGCATGAGTGGCCATATTATTGTAAGAGCACACAAATAACTGAATATTTATTTAAACAATTGTTTTTGAAAGGTAAGAAATATTGAGTTGGTAAATTGAAAAATGCGGCCTATTGTCATATGTACAGTTTGAGCACTTCCTTCAAAAGAAACCCATTTTGGTGTCATTGGAAAAGTTGTAGAGAATCAAAAATCAAGCTTATATCCAAATTTTCGTCAAATTCTCAATAGATGTACAACGGAAAAGCAAGATTTAACAACACTTTAACGGCTACTTTACAAGATTACTTTCTACACGAAATTTGAACTTTCTATCTAACTTTTGATCGAAAAAGTGTCTGAAAAAGTAGGCGTTAAGGTGATTAAAACACGTTTTTTTCCGTTATAAACCTATTGAAAATGAAAAAATCTAATCTATTGGGTTGGTGAATTGAAAAATGCGGGCTATTGTCATATGGCACAGTTTGAGCACTTTCTTCAAAAGAAACCCATTTTGGTGTCAATGGAAAAGTTGTAGAGAATCAAAAATCAAGCTTATATCCAAATTTTCAGATTTTTGATTTACAAAAGAAAATAATACGACTAAAAAAGTGAATGAAGACTGAAATAAAAAGGAAAAAGGCCTTCTCTTTGTAAAAATATAAACCTTTTCACAGCACAAACATTATTCAACAAAAATCTTTCAAACTTACATCAATACTTCCGTGACAAAGTCGCCATAGCGGATGGGGTTCGTAGTTGATAGCCTGAAAGGAAAATCAGCTTAATAAGTTGCACTGTGGCGAATAGCCACGAAAAAGCTACCTAACTCTGACAGCCTAAAAAAATTGGAAAAGTATTGCGGATTCGTGAGCCTTCATTCTATTTCGCGCCCCAAAGCATTTATTGTTTTGTAACTTGTTAGCTGAATATCTTATGTTAAAGCCTATATAAGGCAACTGTTGTTCATTTGATGTTTTTTACTTTTTTCTGTTTTCCTTTCATCGTGTGAAAGTTGTGTCCTAATTAGGACGAAATTGTTTCTGTTTTTATCGTCGCTTTTAATACAATTGTCGATTTTGTGTGAAAATTGCTCAAGTGAGAGCCCAAAAATGCCGAGTCAGTCGGCTATTGAATAAAGTGTCTTAGTTCTTAGTGAGATCAGATATCTCGAAACAAGAAATAACGTGTGAAGAGTGAAGAGTACCAAGCACGCAAAGAAGATTTCTTTACACATACTAAAGATCTACTTTTTTGACCGGCTTAACTTGTACATTGAATTTGACTGTCTACAATTGGCCACAAGTTCCTTATTTTGTTCAAAGATCACATTGAATCACACAACGTTTTTCATCCGATTAGCTGGCCCCTCGGGATCGTGTGATGGCTAGGGAATCCCGAGAAATCCGTGAAATTCTCCGCGACACCGCGAAAAAATGAGCCCATCAATGTCATGTGAAATTGGAGATTTTTGGGAATAGATTTTGGTTATTTCTTGGTTTTGGGGGAAAGTTTGTCTTTCGGATGAAAAAGCCTGTTTCAATTTTCTTAGTATCAAAACGCGTAGCTTAAGATTAATCGTGTAGCAATGATCTATGGTCAAGTCAAATTGAAACACGAACTTTCAAAACAGTAGCGAAAAGACAGAATTTGGCGAAAAGCTCTGCCATAATATGGATTTCATCGTTTCCAAAGGGCTTTCAATGTTTTGAAATTATCTAATCACTTTTGAAGAACTTAAAATGGTTTGACTGATTGAAAAATGAAAAACTCTGGCGAATGAACGTATTAGAATTGCTTCAAACCGTTTTATTTTACCATATTTTGAAACATCAAAAATTCAACCTCGGAATTCGAAGTGAAATTCGAGTTTATTGAAGTAAAGTGTGTGTATTCACAATTATATTGTAACCTATTCGAAATGAAAACGTATTTTTAATGATTTGAAACATTTTACGGGAAATCAACTTATTTAAAGCTGATTTAAAGAAGCTAAAAAAGCCAAAAAAAGCTAATAGGCAAATTTTCATTGATTTTCAATCATTTTTCTAATTGCTAGAGGTAAAGCTGAGATTTTGAAACAAACATCAAAAATTCAACCTAAAGCTTTCAAGTTTAAATTCAGGCTCATGATCTTACATTTTTGAAATCAAAGTCAATCAAAGTCGAGCTTCGAATCAATTCGAATCAATTTTGAAACCATTCTTCCATCAATAACCATCAATTCAAGTTTAGGTGGTTGAAAATTAGAAGACCATGGTATTATTAGAATTTTTTGACGGTAACTTTAGATTTTTTAAATTTATAGTGATCAGGGTTTCTTTGGTGGTTAAAAGACAAATTGACTTTAATTATTTCAAGGAATTCTCAAGAAACTGCTCGTAATTTGAAACATTAAGATTTTAATCTTCAAAAAATCTTTCTAACTAGCTGGAAAGATAGATAAGTCAAAAATTAAGCCAAAAGTTTCATTTTGAATTTTTTGAATAATTCTTTTAATTCAATTGCTTTTAATTTAATTCCTTTTAATTCAATTGCTTTTAATTTAATTCCTTTTAATTCAATTGCTTTTAATTCAATTGTCGATTTTGTGTGAAAATTGCTCAAATGAGAGCCCAAAAATTGTGAGTCAGTCGGCTATTGAATAAAGTGTCTTAGTTCTTAGTGAGATCAGATATCTCGAAACAAGAAATAACGTGTGAAGAATGAAGAGTACCAAGCACGCAAAGAAGATTTCTTTACAACTGGATTTACCGTTAGTCAATCAAGGCATTCCGTAAACGGAAGAGAAGGTGTTTATCTTCTGCTTACCACTTTGAAATACATTTATTGAATGCCGTAAAAAAGAAAGCTACTTAATGATCAACAAGGATCAAGTAGGTTGATCGAAACTAAAAGGCACCCTTTAAGCCATCAGGTCGATCCATTCACTTATTCAATAAATCTATTCAGCCAATCTATCCATTATTGCCTGAATAAAGTTCATCCGTCAATAAACCATGTTTCAAAAGAATACACAATTGCATACTAGTCTCGCTGGCAATCTTGCTTTATGAACTTTATGAGTCAATCCTCATTTGACTTTGATTCAACTTAAACCAAACTGAATGACGAAAAATGTAAACAGGGCACGTTTTTTGGTTAGTATTTCACATGTTTGTCGGCTATTGAATAAAGTGTCTTCGTTGAAGTGAGATCAGATATTTTGAAAAAAGAAATAACGTGTGAAGAGTGAAAAGTACCACAGTACAAGTGAAGAGTACACGCAAAGAATATTTCTTTACATGCACAGTGGGCTTAAAGTATTGATTAAACAATCTTTGAATTGAAAATAAACAAAGCTGTTTTTTAAAACTCACCGCATTAAAATACTCAGTCAACATGGTTCGATAGCCGGGCGACCACGCGTCCTCATACGGCGGAATTCGCTCCAAAACCGGCTGCGGACATGGACTGAAAAATCAATACGACTCTTACTTTGATTTTATTCCAATTCTAGAATGTTTTAGCTTAAGAACTGATCTAAAAAGTTAATAAAGTTCAGATTAACTAGGAGCCAGCAAAAAAAACTCAATGTTTAACGATTAACGTTCCTAAATGCTTATGAATAAGGTTAATAAAATCAATAATTCTATTGGGCCATCCAAAAAAATCTCTATCCTAATATAAGTCTTCAAATCTATCGCAATTTTTCACTAATTATGGGATAATTTGAAACAAAAGAAGACCAAAATTAGAGAAGCGAATGGAGCTGACCATTTAAAACATTTACTTTTGCAAAAGGGGTTGAAAATCTTCACAAATAAGTCTTCAGTTTAAACTAAAATTGAGTTTTTAATCAGTTTTATCTATTATCTATGATTATTTGATGGTTTTATAATTTTTGTAAGCTTTAATTAATGCAAAACCTAGATTCCAAGAAGAAAATGAGTAAAAGCTTTTGAGTCTGGTTAATAACTTTCTTTCTTTCTAGTTAGCAACTCATACCTACGTTTTTAACTCATCAAAATATTCGTTTTCATTCAGAAATTGTTTCGACTTTTTTTTAGCAGTTACCGAAGGTACCGAAGCTCTGATACTAAAGCGATAAATCAATTTTAAGAGTTAGGTTTCAAGATTTTAAGAGTTAAGTTTCAAGTTTTAGCAGATGTGCTCCGGTAAGCTGTCGTTAGTATTGCTGTGAGTTTTAGAACTGTTAGCTCAGCAAGATCTATCATTTGGTTTCTATATTCTTTTATGAGTTGTGGTTGGGCATACACAGCCTTCGAAACCTTGACCGGGACCAGGGCTGAATTTCTGGATAATCTGGCTTTACAAATTTCTGAATAAAAATCCGGATACGGATAATTATTGGGATTTCGGATTATGATTCGAAAATTCGGATAATTCCGAATGATTCTGAACAACTGTGAATGCTGGCTGTTTTTTTGATCTTTTATTTCGCGAATCACAAACATCATCCTGAATTTCTATATGAAAAATAAGAAAATAACCTTAAAAGCTTTCTAAAACCACCTAAAATTACACATAAGAATGCCAATTTGATAAAAGAATTCTAATAAAACTCCGGGGTAACTATTTTATGTTTTAGGAAAATGAAATGAAACAAAAGACCTACCGTAAATACTGTAATAGTACCCCACCGCCCTCGTACAGTCGCGTAGTCGCAAAAGTTTTAGTCGTTTTTTAGTATTTAATTTTTTTCAAAGCGGCCGTACTTTCAAAAAATGTATCTTTGGTATCAAAAAATAGCTGAAATTCAGGGCTATTTTTTGATACCTAAACGCGCATCGTAGCATAAACCAGTGTCGAGAAAAACTAGTTCAAAGCTAGACTACGCAACACTCCGCACCGTCATTATGAGGGTGGGGTACTATTACAGTATTTACGGTAAGTACATTTGTGGGAGCTCTAAGCCTACTCTAAGCCTAAGCCTAAGCCTAAGCCCCGAATTTCAGCTATTCTTTGATACCTAAGCGCGCATTGTAGCATAAACGAGTGTCGAGAAAAACTCGCTCAAAGCTAGACTACGCAACACTCCGCACCGTCATTATGGGGCTGGGGTACTATTACAGTATTTACGGTAAGCAATAATGAAAAAAAGGCTTGGATTAAAGCTAAGCTCAAAGGAAAAAAAACCTAGTTTCAAAGTTGGCAAATTTAGATGAGAAAAATGAAACTTTAGTTTTTATCCAGTTTCATTATCAGCTGAAAATTTTTAAAGCAATATTTAACAAGACAAAAGACTAAATCTTGCGGTATTTTAATAAAAAGTTGTGATTTTCTGAAATAGCTGTGAAATAGCTGAAATTCAGAGCTATTTTTTGATACCTAAGCGCGCATTGTAGCATAAACGAGTGTCGAGAAAAACTCGCTCAAAGCTAGACTACGCAACACTCCGCACCGTCATTATGGAGGCGGGGTACTATTGCAGTATTTACGGTATGTAATTCGTATTCAAATGCAAAAACAAAAAATGACTCATCATTTGACTCAAAAAGGCGAAAATTTGAAATTTCGGAAGTCATTATCGGAAGTATATCATCCGGAAATTCCCATATCTTAGCGAATTTCATTTTAATCTTTTTGTCTCTGATTTCAATCGATAGAAAATGAAATTCAGCGGCTATTAATATCAAAAGCAAAAAGATTGAAGGAAAATTGGCCGATATATGCCATTTTTCTGTTGGACGCCTACTGAAGTTCACACCGAAGTTTACCCAGGTTTAGTGAACACACTAACGACGACCAATGATCACACACACACTGTCAAGCTACACCGCCAAGCTATTTGCAAGACTTATAGGCCTTAGTTTTAGCGTATGTATTGATTTTACGCTTTCTTTTATCTTTAAAATGTCCTACCCAGTCTCATGGATCTTTCCGCGCATCTCTTTCCCTTTGCGAATCCCGGAAACGATCCGTTGCCAAACGAGCGCGCTTTCCGTGAAGTTTCCTGTATTTTAAAACACTCAGATTAAAGTAAAAGTTATTTTTTAATAAATTGAAACTGGTTGGTTATAGGTTAAAATATAGTTTCTTAACTTTTGACTTATAAAAACTGAAAATCCACCTCCCAACTCCTCTTCAATGAAAATATTGAACATTTTCTGCCATCGCTGCGAAGCGGGTGGAACGTGAGAGGATTCTTGAGGTCCTTCTCTAAAAAATGGACGTCAATTAACATTTTAACTAGCTATTTATACTGTCAGACTTTTTTTTGAAAAGTTTTGCCGTATTTTTTTTTCAATTTTATCGATACACATTATGTATAAATCAGCAAAATGTGTAAGTTTCCGAAAAAGTCGCCGGTGAAGTGGAATTTCTTGCTGCATAGATTTCCAGCGACGATTCTGAATCGGTTGAACTCAGTGAAACGTTTGATTTTCTTTCGGAAGGTAACCCTTTGCTGAAATTTTGCTGAGGGTGTTTGCTGAAATTTCTTGAGAATCTAAATAAATTACAAGTAGATAAAAGAAATCACATAATTGCCACAAGGAAAAAGTATCAAAAAATCATCGATTTTCTTTTGTCGTTTTAGAAATTCAAGAAATTCTTGTGCACCATCTCCTCCTTGAGAATCAAATGAGAAACTTTATTGAGTGTATCGGTCAACTGTCGCACAGTGTGGGCCCATTGATCCAAATGGTCAACATGTGCCTTTCTTGCTCGCAAATTAACCACTCGATTTGGTCGATGAATCTTCGCAACTGTGTTGGGGATAGCTCCAGTGACGATGAGTAATCGATGATTGAAGAATCCGCGAAGCTTGACATATCTATTGACTTGACATATCCATTGATTAGCTCAAAGAAAGTCAAATGATCAGTGAGCCTGGCTTTTCAATTGCTGGATTTTCTAGTAATCTGTAATCAGAAAGTGCTCCAGATTCAGGTACAAGAGTTGGAAATGCCATAAATGCCAAGATGCCATAAATGGAAGCTGAAAATACAAATCAATGATCTATACCAGGATTTTGAACTCGTGATCTCTCGCTTACCAGGCAAACACTTTACCCAGGAGCTTACCTATTTCAATGAAAACAAAGAAAGCTTCAATGTGATTGATGTTTTACTCAGAACTCACTCATTGTAGAATCTCTCAATGGTCGTTTCTCCCTCTTCCACCATCAATTGCCCATTTATTTCCCTCAGTTTAATCGGTTTTTCTAGAACTTTCAGCACTCATTAGTCTAGCTATTACAGTACTCGATTGTACTGTAGTAGCATTAGTCTAGCTACTACAATTTCACTTAAAAGATTGCTCTTTAAAAATCACACCTTTTATGTACATCTGTGTGTTGTTCATTTGCACTTGATCCCCAGAAAGAAGATCCCCAGAAAATTGCCCAGAGATCAATGTGTTTGGAGCGACTTTTAGAAAGCCCTGAAATTACAGTGATTTAAGGAAAAGGCTAAATGGTGTACCTTTCCGGTTAAACTACCGTAATCCTCGAAATCTCCCTCGTATTCAACGGAAAAATGTGGCTGAGCGGCTTTTGGCGGGCAAATGATTCGGCCATGCTAAAGAAAAAAGGAAAAGTCTCATTTTTCTTTCTACAAATTGCAAGCTAGTTTCAAAATACTGATATTTTCTTTAAAAGTTAGAGTTTTACTTTAATCAACAACCCTAAATGATCTGAAAAAGCTGAAAAATCATTCAAAATCATTCAAAATCATTCAAAATCATTCAAAATCATTTAAAAGCAATCAAAATCATTCAAAATCATTTAAAATCATTTAAAATCATTCAAAAGCAATCAAAATCATTTAAAATCATTCAAAATCATTTAAAATCATTCAAAATCATTCAAAATCATTCAAAATCATTCAAAATCATTTAAAAGCAATCAAAATCATTCAAAATCATTTAAAATCATTCAAAATCATTCAAAATCATTCAAAATCATTCAAAATCAATCAAAATCATTCAAAATCATTTAAAATCATTCAAAATCATTCAAAATCATTCAAAATCATTCAAAATCATTCAAAATCATTCAAAATGTTCTTCTAAATCTCAACAGTCATTTTGAGAGCTAAAGTTTTGTCAAGAAAATTCAAGTTTCAACTTAGCTGAAAAGTAAAGTGCCCCTTGAGCTTTTAATTTTCGAGTCAGAAAATCCAGAGAATTGAGTTTCTTGATTGATTTACAGAAAAAGTTGAAAGAGAAATCGAAAAGATTGTTTATTTTACATTTTAAACTCAAATAGCTTAGCAAAAGTTGAAATTAAAAGTTCAAGTTTCAATCTAATTCACAAGAAAAAGAAATTGAGCTTTTTAAGTGTTCCCACAAAACAAATAAACAAATTGAGTGCACCAAAGGTGTGTTTACCCGTTTTTGTTTACAAAAGCCGACAAAGCTTACCGTAATTAGATCGTCTACCCAATTTCCCTCATGATAACATCCATCAATTGTTATCCGTGAGCCACGCCCTTGCAGCTTATCATTGTTGAACTCGCCTAGATAGCGAGCCTCTAAAATGCTTAGATTTTATGTCCGATCTTGAAATCTTTTAACTAAATAACGTTTTTTTTATTGCAATCACTAAATTACTAAATAAATTATAGTTTTTTTTGCATAAATTCCTTTAAAATGAAAAAAAGACGCATTTCTTTTGCAATATTTTTGATAAACGATTGTTAGCAACAGTTGAAATTAAAAGTTCAAGTTTCAATCTAAACCACAACAAAAAGACATTAAGCTTTTTAAGTATTCCCAGAAAACAAATAAACAAATTGAATGCACCAGAGGTGTTTGAAATTTGATGACCGTATTTTCTCTAATAGTAGCGCGCCCGGTCGAGCCGAGTTGGTGACGATTTTACGGTTTCCAAGCTTTCACAGAAGCTCAACACTCAAATCCCCCACTAGATCTCATCGTCAGCTACATTTTCCGACCCCACATCGATTGGTTCTGATAAGCGGTTCTCGAGATTTCGAGCAATTTAGGTGACGCTCAGGGTGTACTACTACAGTGCGTTTAAAATTCTTAAACGCACCCTCTAAAATAGCGGATTTTGCATTTTGACCACCGCTACAACTATTAATCTTTTTCTATTAGAAAGAGCATGTCTTAAAACCTAAATAACATGAAAAATAAGCATACTGTAAAAAGTAAAAATTTTCAAAATAGCATGCTCTTTCTAATAGAAAAAGATTAATAGTTGTAGCGGTGGTCAAAATGCAAAATCCGCTATTTTAGAGGGTGCGTTTAAGAATTTTAAACGCACTGTATTAGAGAAAAAACAGCAATCAAAAAAAAGAACTTAATTTTGATAATTTTAAGATAAACCTTTTGTTAAGGTACTAAATTACTGAAAAAAAACTAGAATTTTGTTTGATTTGACTAAATTTAGTCGAAAAACAATCAAATTCTTTGTGAAATGACTTTTCTAGGTAAAAGAGAGATTTCGAAAATAAAAGGTTTCAAAATTGGAGGTGTGATTTGTTTCAAAATGTAGATAATGATGTATTCATGTATCATTTCTCATTTATCATAAGTTTACTGAATACTGAACTGAATACTGAAAATCAAAGTTCAAAATCAAATTCGAGGTTTTCTTTTCGAGAGAAACAAAAGCCTTTGGATCAGCTACATATAGGGTGCGGCAGGATTATTGCAATCGCCTCAAGGCATTAATTTTAGTTCGAACAACTATCTCGAACATAACATATCTTCTTCCGTGAGCCAAAAATCACTTAAGCAATAGAATTTGGTGTTTCACGCCCGATAATGCTTATGCTTACAAGGCTCGAGTGGGTTTTTTTAGGATTTTCTCAATTTGACCACATTTAGTGGGCACCCTCAAGTTCCGATCCAATGGATTTCAGTGTTTAGAATTCTTGAAGCAAAAATGTGCTCAAAATCGCAGTCCAGCATCGTTTCGCTTAAGCAATCCTTTCAAAAAGTTCGATAAACTGGATCCCGCTTAGCATTTGACTACAATGGATGCATTTTACAAATGCCATAGAGATCATAGAGATCATAGAGATCATAGAGATCATAGAGATCATAGAGATCATAGAGATCATAGAGATCTTTAGGAAGTAATTTTAGTTTTTCTTGTTAGTTTTTCACCATAGAAAGTAGTTTTTCTTGTTTAATATATCTTTAAAAACCGATTGTTAAATTTTTTGAGTTGATTTCCTTTTATCAGTTTCTATTCTTAAAAAAATATTGATTGAAATAATCCTGCCGCATTCTGTAAAGTTCAAAATCAATTGAGAGATTTTCTTGGTTTAAAATTCATTTAAAGGTTCATTTAAAGGTGAGAGGCTTAAAGTTCATTTAAAATTCATTTAAAATTCATTTAGTTCATTTAAAGTTCATTTAAAATTAATTTAAAGTCAAGAACATTAGTTTTGAAATTTTAAGTTTCAAAGTTATCCATGTTGCAAATAGGATATTCAAAGTAATGCCGTAACAGTGTGAAATTTAAACAAAACCCCCACTTCTTGTTGAATGGACCCCATATCCGTGTCGTTTTCCGTCTTTCCATCCACCTAAAATTAAAATATTGCCTTTATTTTGAAATTGCAAAGATTTATGACAAAGAACAAAACTCATAGTCAATTTGAGATGCTGCTAAATAGTTATTTTTTCGACTTTAATTGAAACCTAGATATTTCCCACGATCCCATTGATGTAAACCGAAACCGTGCGGTTCATTTCCCTCGCAATAGCCCTCGTAAAAGTCGCCGTTTGGATATCTAAAGAAAAAAGTATATCTAAAGTCTTCTTTCTATTATAAAATCTTTGTTTGTCTGACCGCCTTGTTCTTCTTGACATACTTTTGTTTAAATTAAACTTTAAATTAAAGTAAGCACCCTTTGTGATGCACTGAATTTCTCATTTTCTTGCAGAAACGATTGAATGTGAAAAAAGTGCACCAGAACCAGAATGAGCACCAGAATGAGCACCAGAATTGAGCGCATCAGAATGGGTGCGTTTACAGATTTGAGCAAAAAATATTAACTAGCCAATGACGACACCCTTTCGTCTCTAATTAAGTTGAAACTCGATGTTTTTATGGATGATTTTTGATAATAGCTATAGCTAATTTTATAGCTTTCACTGACTTTGAAATTCTAGGTTATACACAAATATTTCCAGTGTTATACTTGTCAGCAAAAAAAAAAAAAAGCTAGTTTCAACTTAGCTAAATACTAAGCACTCAGCCTAAGCATAATGTTTTCAGCTTCGATAAGCAATTTTTAAAAAAATATGCTTTGATGTAATGATTTGCGAAACTTTATCAATGCAAACATTCGAACCAAGCGCCATTCCAACTAAAGTCGACTCTCGATGTAACGATTTTCGATATGGAAATGAGAATTTCAAATAAAACCTAACGATGCTGGAGCTAATGATTAGCTGAATCACCTCTGCTTTTATCTCCCCTAATTTGAGACATACTTTTTTGGCTCAAAAGATCTGCTTTGATTTGATTTGATCTGAATATACAGCTAAACAGTCTGCATAAATTGCGGTTTCAATTTGTTATAAAGGTTGCCTAAGAGTAGATTGTTGAAGTAATGAAATCTCGTGTTTTCCGGTTATAAAGAACAATGTTTTCCATGATTTTTCCATTTTTTTTAACAGCGATATGCTTGAGCTGTTCCAATAGATCTGTTCATTTGTCGGTTTTATCGGAAAACACGAGATTTCACTACTTCAACAATCTACTCTTAGGAAAGTCTAAAAATGAGTTTCCCAAATTGCAGCTAAAGCCACAAATTGGGAAAACTTAAATGAAATATTTACATTATTGATTTTATTGAATATGGGTCTGCTCACTCTTTAAAACATACTTATTCTTACTGATTTGAAGACAATAATGTACTGATTGACTTTCATTTACAATCGAAACATACAGTCGACTCTCGATTTAACGATTTGCTCGATGTAACGACTTTTTTGTATAACGATAACGATTAACGACTAACTTTTGATTTGATAAAACGATTTTGTGACTAAAAAGTGAATCATTTTCTAAAATTCGATGTTGATCATACCACGAATGCACTTGATTATATATCCTTGCTACTTCAACTACAATTTCTACTATTTTTTCAACAGTCAACATTTCGAACATTTTCTGAAATTGTTGATGTCATAAAATACTCTAAGAAGCGAAAGGAAATGAAAGTGAGGAAAACCAGAGCAAAGAAGAGCTTGGTGAAGCCAGAGCAAACAATTTCATGACACGAAGCTGATCAATGTTTTTAAAAGTTTCAAAACTATGGAAGAATAAAAGGCTATTTAAAAGTTAACCATCAGAATTATTCTTGATAACTTTTGATGAGGAAGCTTTGTTATCTTTATTGTAACTTTGATATAACAATTTGGGTTAAAAGCATTGGTTTTTTTACTTCTAGATAACGATTTTCTGTTAGATAATCGACTTGTCGACTGTGCAGGATTGTTCAGGATTACGGGGACTATGGGTAGCTTTGATATTGAATATTTTTGCTTACAATTTATATACCGTCTTTTCTCTGGTAGTAGTGCACCCTGAGCGTCGTCTAAATTGCTCGAAATCTCGAGAACCGCTTATCAGAACCTATCGATGTGGGGTCGGAAAATGTAGCTGACGATGAGATCTAGTGAGTGGTTAGAGTGTTGAGCTTCTGTGAAAGCTTGGAAACCGTAAAATCGTCACCAACTCGGCTCGCCGGAGTGCGCTACCATTAGAGAAAATACGGTATTCTTCTTGTCTTTCTTTTAGCTTATTTATTGAACTATTTATTTACTATTTTTTCTCAAAAAAACTCTTTTTAGAATGGCTAAGTGAGTATGCCGAGATGCGATCATCGACCTACACAAGTGTGGCGTTCTGGCAATGGATATCTCTAAGCGATTACGCAAACGACTTGTTTACAAAGCGATCAAACGCTTTCAAGAGTTAGGAAGAAATTCTGATCGTCCGTAAAGCGACCGTTGTCATTAAGGCTAAGATCAAGGTTCAAGATCAAGGTTCGAGATCAAGGTTCGAGATCAGCTACGTTTAAAAGCTACATTCGCAGGCCAGGATGGCCAGGATGTAGCTTTCAAGCGGCCAGGATGTAGCAGGATTCCATTTCAGGATGTATAAGGATTACCGTATCCTTCCCAATCCACAAAGTTTCCCTCGACGGAAGACTCCTTTGAACTCGGTCACCTGAAATGGAAATGATTTTCAAATGATAAATTTGACTTTTCAAACATTGATTTACAGTTTTTTTAAACAATAAGAATTTAGAAATCAAATTTTTAAGCCTTTTTTAATAATAAAGTGACAAGAGTGAAAGCATGTTTCAAAGTATCATGCTTAATGCTTTAATTTGCTCGATTAATACATTGTTTGGAGGTTGTGATGTTTTAGAAAATAGATGCCTCAATTTCCTCAATTTTTCGTACTTCTCGTCTAGATTCCCAGTGTACATTTTGTGAAATTAGCATTGAAAAAATACTATTAAATTAGTCATAGCTTTCGTAGTTTGCATTTAAAATATTAATAAATCAATAAATCAATTTGGCGGTATAAGTACTCAATTTCTTTTTTTGTATTCAAGAATCTTGTACTTTTTCCGTTTTCATCGTTGGTGAGCCAAGGAAAAACGATGAAAATGAGGAGTCTTTCTCGGTTTGAGTGAAATGTGGAACGGTAAGCACTCCGAAACTGAAAAGTATTGAATTCACTGTATTCAAAAGATTTTGAATTTTGTTTTTCTTTCAGATTTTAGATGTTTTAAAACTGTTTTTGTAGATTTTGAGGCTCACAAAGGAAAGCCACCGAATCAAGTTGGCTAACAAGCTAACTAACTAAAAGTTAACTAACTAACAAGCTAACTAACAAACAAGCTAACTGACAAACAAGCTACCTAACTAATAAGCTAGCTAACTAACAAGCAAGCTAACTAACTAACAAGCTAACTAACTAACAAGCTAACTAACTAACAAGCTAACTAACTAACAAGCTGGCCTAACTAAAAAGCTAGCTAACTAACAAGCAAGCTAACTAACTAACAAGCTAACTAACTAACAAGCTAACTAACTAACAAGCTAACTAACTAAAGGTTAACTAACTAACAAGCTAACTAACTAACAAGCTGGCCTAACTAACAAGCTGGCCTAACTAACAAGCTAACAAACAAACAAGCTAACTAACTAACACGCTAACTAACTAACACGCTAACTAACTAACAAGCTAACTAACTAAAAGTTAACTAACAAACAAGCTAACTGACAAACAAGCTAACTAACAAACAAGCTAACTAACAAACAAGCTAACTAACTAACAAGCTAACTAGCAAACAAGCTAACTAACAGGCCTAACAAGCTTAACTCGAGACCAAATCTCTATCTTATAAAGTCGGAAATCTCGAAACCGTTTTTACTTTTTGCTTATCTACTGATTCTGATAGTTTGGAAGATTCTAGCTTTTGCAAATGATTTGTTCAAGTTACAGAAGCGTTTAGAAAACTCGAGTCAATAATTCAATAGGAAACAGTTAAAAAGAAAAATTTGACAAGAGTTTGATAAGAGTTGGACTCGAACTTGAGAACAAAACAAGTAATAGGTTTGGTAGTCTAATAGACTATCCACCAGACTACCGAGGCGATCGTTGGTGAGCCTGTGACAGCTGTAACGCTCATAAAAAGCTGTAACGGCCTCATAAAGAAAGGATTCAAGGTGATTTTCTATATTAAATATGTTTGCGTGTGTTTGCGAAGTGTTCTGTAAAAACTAAAAACGGATTCAAGAGCCCGATGGCCGACTCTATAAGATGGACTTGGTTTCGAAAAAGCCAGCTTTCCCCTTGTCAAATTACTCACCCATGATACTCTCCGTCGACAAATTGTCCCTCATAACAAGTCTCGTCCTCGTATCGCAAAATTCCCCTAAAATTTTTGGTTAATCGAAGTTTTATGGACTCGAGTTGTCACTAGACTTGTTGTTGTCAAAATTTTACGGAAAACTTTAGAGAATTTTCTCCATTTCTAACTCCGTACCTTCCATTTGGCTTCCCGCAAAGCCACGATCCCTGGTAAGTCGAATCAATCAAGTCCGACGATGGATTTGTGAACTTGTACTGGCCAAAGCGTTTCTAAACAACAATCATTGAATTCAGATAAATATTTATATAATTTTCACAATAAATGGCAAAATTCTAAACATCATCCATGATTGCTTAAAGTAAAACTTCTTCAAACTTCATCTTCCTCTTCAAGCTGTTTGCTCCTATCATGTAGAAGTTTAAGCTAATGTCTTTACAGCTAAACAGTCTGCATAAATTGCAGTTTCAATTTGCACCCAAAGAAATTTCGTTTTTAAAGACCCATGTTTTCCATGATTTTTCCATTTTTTTAACAGCTATATGCTTGAGCTTTTCCAATAGATCTGTTCATTTGTCGGTTTTATCGGAAAACACGAGATTTCACTGCTTCAACAGCCAAAGCCAAACAAATTCAGGATTTCTTGATACACGAAGGTCGAATTTTCCAAGCAACCTCTATCTTTTGGTCTAAAAACCTTGAAAAAGTGGTTTTAAGTGGTCAAATCTTGTTTTCCGTCATATATTTATTGACAAATGAACTATTAAGAGCTAGACTTGCCTATCGAGAGCTTATTGATATCGATATAAACGATATTGATATCGAGAGCTTATCGATATCGATATAAAAGCTTATCAATATTGATGCTGTAAAGCCTGTAAATGATGTAAAGCCTGTAAATGCTGTAAAGCTCTCAATAGTTAATAATATCGATAATAAGGTAAAGTAAGAAATAGTAAAGAAAGATTTCCGTAGAGGGGAGCTTATTGATATCGATATCAATAAGGATTGAACCCTCAACCTTTTTGCTGGCAGATACTCAAACGACTGAGCTATCTGGTATCTTCAGAGAAGAAAGGCGAAATACAAGAGGAAAGAAAGAGAAAGAAAGCTTAAGAAGAAAGAGAAGAGAAGTTAGGAAGAAAGAGAAGTTAAGTCTATGTTCTATTAGAAAATGACGAGCAAACCTGTGACGCCGGCTTTTTCGTGCTCCACGACTCGCTGGCGGCCATGAATTTATTCTAGAATTGATACATTGATAAAATTCAAGCAATTAAAGCTTAAATCATTGTAAATTTCTATAAATTCATCTAAATTTTTTTCACAAACCCGCTCAACATCACTCTTGAACTCTAACAAAAGTTGTGCTTCTGGCGCGATCAAAGAAAGCGATGGATTTGTCGATTCGGTTTCATTTTGCAACCAAATCAATTCCAATGGCCATAATTTATAGTCTTTCTTCTAAAACCATTTTAAAAATTGACTTAAACTGTTTTTTTTTTAAAGTCACCTCTAAAAATATTAAAACATCATTGAAAACCAAAACGCCGATGTACTTTGGAGCGATGAGAGTCTTTGGATGAATTGTTGAAGCCTGAAGATGTAAATGTTATGTAAATTATGTTTTTTGTATGTAGATCTAGAGGTTTTATCTAGCTTCTAATATCAGAAGCAAAATCCACATCAAATTCACATCCAAAATCCCACCTTAACAATCCCTCCATCACCATTGATCGGCATACAAATGAGGAGCTTTCTGCCTGAAGCTCGCAAAAGAGCAATCTGGAAAAAATATTCGAGTTAAACGTTTCTAAAACACAAAAACCCTTATTTTTAACTATTTAAGAATAGAAACAAAACTATTTAAGAATAGAAACAGAACTATTCAGAGTCAGAGTCATCTGATAAGAATCAGAGTTGCCTAGCTGAACAAAATAGTTTCAATTTACTCAGCTTTAACGGACAAGTCCAGGATTTAATCAAGTCCAGGATGTTTTTACCGGTTTTTTTAATGCAATACACTTACCGTATTTTCGTCAAACGGTTTCTGCCAGTATTTATTCGTTCGTCTTGCATCGGAAATTGACTGATTCACGTGGTTAAGATTCTCTTGGATTTTTGTGATCACATCTTGCAAATGACGACGACGAGTCGAATTCTAAAGTTGAAGTTTCAAAATTGCACTAAGTCAGTCTTTGAAAAAAAAACAATGGTCGTCGTGGGTATTTTCATCTAATCTTTTTTTGATCTATCTGATTTCAACAGCTTTTACAAAATTTTTACTATTGTATAATAAAACAATGTTTCAAACTAAAGGGTATTTTAAAAACTTTGTGTCTTGTAGATCATAAAGACTTGTAGACTTGTAGATCATAAAGACTTGTAGACTTGTAGACTTGAAGACGGAAGACTTGAAGACTTGTATACTTATAGACTTGTAGACTTGTAGACTTGTGGACTTCGGGACTTGTGGACTTGGGGACTTCAAGACTCGTATACTTATAGACTTGTAGACTTGTGGACTTGTAGACTTGACTTGAAGACTTGAAGACTTGTAGACTTGTAGACTTGTGGACTTGTAGACTTGTAGACTTGTAGACTCGTATACTTGAAGACTTGTAGACTTGTAGACTCGTATACTTGAAGACTTGTAGACTTGTAGACTTGTGGACTTGTAGACTTGTAGACTTGTGTGATTTGGGATTAAGTAAATCAATTTTGAAGTTCTTGTTAAACAAAAATTTCAATTTTACACCAAATTTTGCGAGTAAAGACAGCTTTTATCTTTTTAGCTTATATTTTTTAATAAAGTTTAATAGAGTTTAATAGAGTTTAATAGAATATTAAGCGTTTATATTAAATTTGTTCAAACATTCAAGTTTTTCTTGTCTTTTTTCCATTCGCTTTCCATTTTTGATGTCACCAATGAACTCCGTTCCGAACAAAATTTACGATAATGATTTTTCGGTCATAAAATGAACATAAATTCTCGTAAACTGCTATTTTCTCCATTAGATCAAAGAAAACGCAACTTTTCCTTTTCGAAACGAAGAAAGACCTTGATCAAACGCTTGGATTGTCTTGGATCTCTGACTTAGATCGCAAGGATTTGATTTGGCTGTGTTTGATGTGACCGAAATTTTTGTCGCATCTTTGGCAATAATTTTTTTGCTGTTTACTTTGGTTAGAAAGCAAGCCCAAGTTAGTAGAAAGGCTATTGAAAAATTTGATTTCAAAACTGGTAAGATCAAGCAGAGTTATTTAGGGGATAATCTTGAAACTTGAAAAACTTCAATAATCAAAAGTTCACACTTGTTCTAATGAAATAAAATGATGCAAATCTATCGACCAAATCAGTTTCAAGCTTAGTTTAAGATAAAAGCAGTAATTTTCTTTGAATCAAAGATTAATCAAGACCAAAATGGGATTTAGCCGAGCCATAACCTGGCTTTTGGTCTGCTTTGCTGAAAAATCGATTTTTGAAACAATCCTGGTTGTCAACATGATGATTTTGAGTTTTATTTGGACAAGCGACAATTTTATCTGTTTTATTCCACAGTACTTGCAATAACTGAACAAAATTAAAGTTTTTTTCTATTGTACTTGTTGCACTTGTACACCAACAATTGATTTCAGCTCAACCCTTCCTTTCAGTTCATTTTCAGCTCAACCCATTCCTTTCAAATTTTCGGCAAAATTTTTCCGTGTTTTCCCTTCAATTTCCCCGCAAAAACACACGCATTAGCGTGCATTAGGTTTCCGACAAAAAAAACACCGTTTTGTGCACTTTTTCCTCTGATTTGTCACCTCTGGAATGCGGTAGAGGACATCTTTTTGCAGATTTCTTTAAACAAAAAGTGAATGGGTTATGGTTAATTGGGAATTTGCGATTTAATCGCTCAAATAAAAAGGAAATCGCTCTTTTCTTTCACATTAAAGAGTTTTCCTTCAACTAGAGGCCGGTCATTTTGAAACTAGCTGCTTAAATTCAAAAGGATTTACCAATAGATAAATTTATGGGATTTAAAGCTGGATTTGGAAGCTTTTTGAAGCTTTTGAAGCTTTTTGAAGCTTTTTAAAGCTTTTTGAAGCTCTTTGAAGCTTTTTAAAGCTCTTTGAAGCTTTTTAAAGCTTTTTGGAGTTTTTTTAAAGCTTTTTGAAGCTTTTGAAGCTCTTTGAAGCTTTTTAAAGCACTTCCAAGCTGGCTTTTCGACTGAATTGGTTTTTTTTCTGAATTTTCAATGATTGTTATTTTAAAAGGCAAAAATGAGATAAGAATCATAGGCTATAAGGCAAAATTAGTCTAATTATTGCCCTAAACTTTTGCAAATCATTAAATACTTTGAAACATGAAATTTAAAAAAGCTTTTAAAGTAATCAAATCTCGTTTTTCCGTCGTACACCTATTGACAATTAGATATTGAACAGCTTTAGTGTCCCAAAACAATTAAAACAACTGATTTAATCCCAAGGAAGTTCAACATTTTCTTAAATTTGCTTAGTGACTTTGCAAAAACGGCTAAAAAGATCAAAATCAGACTAAAAAGATCAAAATCAAAGGATCATGATCAGCATAACGATCAAAACTTCATTTTTTGAACCCCCAAACTTTAGCTACTGAAAATTTGTGCTTGTGTTTTGACTTTTTGCGGTCTAGTCGGGTGACTTTCAAGAAGATAAAGAAAAAGATGAAATCAAGAAAGTCAAGAAAGTTTCTCTCTTTTCCCAAGACGACTCTTTCGCGCATTTTCGATCCGAATCTGTCAACCCCGATTTGCCAAGTTTGCCCTAAAAATAGCAACGATTAAGGGAACAATTTGGGGTAAATTTGTGAAGAATAACTATAATGTTTCTTGTTCATTCTATAATGTCACTTCAAGTTCAAGTTCTTGTGAGGGTTAAACCCAACTTTCAATTGGTAGACTCAATAAAATGAAAAGCGCCAAACGTTTCGCCGATCGCGAAAACCATCGGGTACAAATTTACAGATGAATTTCATCTACAAAGCAAAAGAGAATCCCATGTAAATGACTGATGAGTTGTTCTTTGTACGCTCTCGTAATCTCTCTCCATCTGGTAAACCGTCGGGGATAGGGTGCCTCCCTTTCGGAATCCAACGATTAACGAATGATCCTCCGCATGTCGCTCGTTCAATTGATGGTTGATCTGGACCTCGTCACCAATTGAAGGAGGGACAAGCGGAGGATCCTCCGCATCTCTCTCCTTCGATTGATATATCTAGGACCTTTGCTGCATTATCTCAATCCAAAAGAACTGAAACTCGTGACAAAAGTGCTGGCAGGGGAAGGCTCCTCCTCATCACGCTTCTTCAATTGTTGGTTGGTCTGGGCCTCGTTTTCGTGATCGCTTGATTTCTGGCACACCCACCCCATAGATAGGTGTTGCCTTTTGTTCTCGTAAAGGAGCAGGAACGGTGTGAGATCGAGCCGGCCTCACCGCTTTGAGCCGTCACCACTGGGATCATTGCCCAAATCCCTGGGATCAATTTTTGCCCTTAAATCCCAAAATTTGGCTGTAACTGTGTTTTGATCACAAATTCGACATCTTGTTATATCATTGTTAAACTCTTGGACAATGATATCATTAGTTTTCCTCTGTTTTGTATCAGATCCCTGATCTAAGTGACCTAAAAAACTTGTTCAAAAGCAAAATCGTTTGCTCTTTGAAACTTTTTACGAAAGAACGAATCACAAGTGATTTTGAGTGAGTGTTTTTCTTTCTTTTTACGACGAGGTCAACGATTTCGGGCATTTAATCGAATAAACCGAAAATGTAGAGAAAATACCGCCTAAAATAGCATTTCCTTGTTGCTTTTATTGAGGTCATAAATCGAGGAGGAATTCGGACGATTTTTGATCAAAACTCTGCAAAAAAACTTGATGTTTCAAACAAAGCAACTCTTTTTTTTTCGGTTAAGCAATTGATCATTTGCTGCTTTCTTACTGTTGTCAGCAGATTTAAGGCATTTGAATAGTTTAAAGTTTACGTAAATAACGTTAAAGCAGATCAAGAGCACGCTTAAAAGCTTAAAACAATACAATTCTTATAAAGCACAAGTCGCGCTTGCTGCAAACTCAAATTTTCAGGGCTACTCCAGGTCAAAAGCGCTAGAATCCAGAAGTGAAACCTAAGCTTAAACTCTTAAATTGACTTTTAAAAGCAAAACTTATCGAAAAGCAAAACGACCTGGGATTAACTTGACGACAAAAGATATAAAATTAAATAAATTGAAACTCATCTTTTAAAAATGGATTTTAGGCAACTTATCAAGCTGTTGTTTGCGTTGCTGAGTTGTTTGCGACAATTTTTAGAACGATTTCTTGGCAAAATTTCATTTTTTAACTGTTACAGGGCTCGATTGGAGTATCCTTGGCTCAATTTGATCATCCTTGGCTCAATTGGAGTACCCTTGGCTCAATTTGATCATCCTTGGCTCAATTTGATCATCCTTGGCTCAATTTGATCATCCTTGGCTCAATTTGAGCATCCTTGGCTCAATTTGATCATCCTTGGCTCAATTGGAGTACCCTTGGCTCAATTTGATCATCCTTGGCTCAATTTGATCATCCTTGGCTCAATTTGATCATCCTTGGCTCAATTGGAGTATCCTTGGCTCAATTTGATCATCCTTGGCTCAATTTGATCACCCTTGGCTCAATTCGATCATCCTTGGCTCAATTTTATCATTCTTGGCTCAATTGAAATTGAAAAAAATCAAG